GCACACCTCAGTTTTCCCTCCCTGCCCGGCAAACTCGCACAGTCTTCCACCTCCGTACACACACACACACACACACACACACACACACACACACACACACACACACACACACACACACACACACAACTCCAAGATGTGCAAACCTCCCCCTCAAACTGAGCCTTCTTTTCTCAGTCTGAGGTGACCCTGCACACCACCTCCCCCTTTACCGTTGGTGTTGTGTGTCCAGGTGAGATGGAAGGAGACGTGGGTGCCCAGAAACCTGAAGGTGGAGACAGATTCCACAACTTATAATGGGACCGGTCGGTGCCTCCTGAAGTCCATTATGAGTTCTTTTGTTTTAAGGACGTTCAGCTTCAGGTTGTTTTCTAAACACCAGCGGGACAGGTTCTCTACCTGCGCCCTGTACGCCGTCTCATCTGCACCAGAGATGAGCCCAGCTACGGCGATGTCATGGTCCAGCATGCCAATGAAACCCCCGTGATGTTTGCCATTTATTCCTGTTTTCTGCCATTATATTGCATTCTGGCACCGTTGGTGGAGCACCCACATTTCTAGTGTACATGTACAATGACAGTAAAGGGCTATTCTATTGCATTCGAACCAGGGCACATCAGCATTGTAACCTGTGCATAATCAAACTGCTCTTGGGCAGGTTTGTCCAAGATAACAGATCAGCATTTACAAAACCACAACAGTCTTGGAAAATGGCACCACCACTGCAGCTGGCATCATGAGTCAGACCGTGGTCAGGAGGGTAACAGCGCTCAGGATCTGTAGTTCTGTATCAAACAGACTGATTTTAGCACTAAACCCTTCTACTTGTTGCCATCAGATATGAACAAAATCCTATTAATCAATGTGAGTAATATTTCTACAGCCCTGAGTGCACGTTGACTAGCACTACATGTACCTGCTCAGCTCAGTTGTTGCATAAAGGCAGGCTGCATCACAGCACAGGCCCCAGGTGAACCAAGAGTCCAGCCTTGTGTCAAAGCATCAGTTTCATCTGTGACTGGTTAAAATCTTAACCCACCTTGTCTCGGAGTTCAATGGTTGGAGAGCTTGTGTAAGGTTTAGTGTAAGTGTGGTCTGTGTACAACATCATCCGTATCTTGGCTTCAAGTTCGTCTACTCGCATCACCGTCTCGCTGCACGTAAACAGAAGAAAGTCAAGAAAGGCGGGTTGTTTGGTGGCTCTGAAAACTCAATGGATAGAAAATCATCAACTCATCGCAAAGATTTCTGCAGACGGGTTTCAGAGGTCCATCAATTGAAGAGAGCAGACTTATTACAATGCTCACAAAGGCAGCTTAAATAAAATGTTAAAGATGTGTATATTTCGCCCTCACCTGGAGATTGGTGAAACTGAAAAAGGCAGACTGACTCTTCTGATGAATGGATACATGCACGTGAAATCCATCCTGATAACTGGATCTCTAATGATGTTTCCAGTAACCCGAGGGTCTGACCTCACACTCAGGGAAAACCAGATGTGAGTTAAATTTTTCTGTAAGGGGACAACAAAAGAAAACCATTGAGGTGCTCATCCTTTTCTAGGCTGACGCAGACATTAAATGACTTGTGCTCGAGCTGCACCTCAAACGGCAGTCCTCCACAGGTCACATATTTGTGTTTGGAAACCCTGAACACGTAGTACGGGACGCCGTCGATATGCTCTCTCTTAGCGCCACAAGATTTGTTTGGCAAGTGAAGCGAGTCCAGTGGCACGCCGTGATACTCGAAAAAAGCTTCCGCTGCTCGGATTGCTACGTGGTCTTTACCACACGTAACCTTGAGATGTGCATCTGTAAGAAGCAAACGTCAGTGAGTCTCTAAAATAAACTCAGTTGTTGAATCGCATCCATCGGAGATTCCAGTTTGTTCGTGTAAATGAGAAGTTTGTCGCACACACAAAAGTTAGCCATGGAGTCCCACAAGGCTCTGTGCTAGGACCACTACTGTTCACATTATACAACCTCCCATTAGACAATATTAGAAAACACTGCATACACTGAAACAAAAGGACGTATCAGTTGTCTCAAAGGCCTGGATGAATTTTTATTCCATCGTTTCCATTTTACTTCTCATCGTTTTTAAAACTAGTTTTCATTGCAGGTAGTTTAAACGTCTTCTTACACCAAGCTTTCGTTAACTGTAATAACCTGGGTTATATCCCACCTCTTGAATCACGTCAAATAACAAGCAGCCCCGTCATCGTTTGCTAGTTACAAATGTGACGATACCTCAAGTTTCTATAGAAAATTAGGAAAAAAGTTTTTCCACATAAAACCATAATTTGACTGAAGATTTCTTAGGGGGCAGTACGCAGTAATCTAAAACAAGTAAAAATGAGCACACCTTCAGAAGAAAAAGAAGCATCTACACTAGTCAAGAGAAAGCTGTGAGTGGGTTGTTGCATATCAGCATTTTAAAGTAGAAGAACCAGGGAGGGAGATCCAAGTTTGTGGCAGTAACAGATGGAGAAGCAGAAGACAGAAGGGTACTGCAGAGTGAAACGTGGAGGAAATGTTTAAATCTGGGCTCGTTTTGGCTACTCTGAAGTTGTTCGTTCTTCAGAGACACTCCACCCTCTGGTTTGTGGATAAGGATTCATACACAGCAGTAGGATAATGAGCCCAAACACACCTCAATCTTTGTGAAATTGGACTGTCACGGGCTGCCCTCCAAAATAAAAAACACTACATATTTATGTTGGAACAAGACATGGAAGTGGGTATAAGATGACTTGCAGAACAGAGTCAGTGCAGCTAAATGCATGCTATCACAAACCAAATGCATGATTTGAAAACTCATTTTTCACAATGACAAGCTTTGAAATAATATTTTGAGATATTAGCACCGGGATCAATCTGGGAAGTCTTCATGCTGATCTTAGACAAGTGTACATTGTTGTACTTGTAATGATTTAATCTCCCTAAACAGAATCAGCCCAACTCAGCATAATTCTGGGGTGCATTCAGTTTCTCTTTGACAAAACTGATGAAATGCATTGAAATCAAAGTAAGAAAAGACAGGAGAGCCTACTTCGGTCACACTTGTCAGCATAAAAGCCGAGCGCACATTTGCAGCTCCTCTGGTCTTTAGACAGGACGCATCTTGTGGGGTCAGTGCAATGCTCCACACTGCAGGTTCCTTAGAAAGGACACAGGAAACGAACTTGATAAATCTCCACGCTGAAACACAGCTCACATTTTTTAACCTTCTTACCCTCAACCCCGTCCAACGTGAACCCGAGGAAAAGCAGCAGAGCCACGGGAAGCTATTTTGGAGGAAGGATATTTCCGCTTTTACTCTTTTTATCCATCTTTCTTTTATTTTTTACACTAAAGGACAATAAAGCTGTGGGTGTTTTGCCCGGGCCTACCTTCAAGCCGGTTAAGCTCATTGCAGTAACGATCTGTGGGAATATGCAGGACACGCTGGCGTTATATTTGCAGACGTCCTTCTCCGCTCCGTCGCTACTTCACCTGCCGGTCTCCAATCAGGAACACCTGCTGTGTTTTTCCGTGGAGGGTTTTGGAGCTTTAACCCCGCGAATTAATTCGTCTAAATATGTCATGTTTAAAATATCAAATAAGTTTGGTGCCA